TAGTGACACCCCGGTTAGGGCTGTGTCGGGTTGTACTTCCGCACTTACTTGCTATTATTCGCTACTTAGTATCATTAAATCATGTTTTAAACTGTTTTCATGTTGTTTAACTGTTTTAAAAAGTGAATTGGGTTTAATTGGCTGACCTTGTCTTCACAAGAGGCGTCATCACGACCGGGTTCGGGGTTAGGGTCGTGACAAAGCATAGCATTCGGTAGTGAACAAAGTTAGATAGTCAAGGCTCACATGTATAGCCAAAGTGAAGAAGAGATTCAAAACAAGTACAGGTCTCACAGTAACAAGTGAAGAAACCTTTTGAGAAATCAGGGTTTCAACAATGGTCGAGTTTAAAAGATGGTAAAACTAAGAATCAGATGAATCACATAAAGAAAAAAAGAGTCTGAAACAAGGAACCTTAAATCGAGTCAAGTATTCAAACAAACAATCTTAGACCCAAAGACCTAGGGTTTTCAACAATAATCGAGTTTAAAAGATGGTAAAACAAATAAGTCAAACAAGAACGAGGAACTTAATCGAACCAGTACACAAAACAAACAATTTCAAAGCTCGAAAGAGACCAAAAAGAATTAAGGTTTTCAATATGCTGACTCAGATTGAAGAACAACATGAGCAAAACATAGTAGAATCACAAACAACAGTAAAAATCGGAGAAGAGATCTTTTGAAAAACTTAAAAGAAAACCTTAACGAAAAGTCGTTTTGAAAGGAAAGTTGAAGAACTTTCGAGAAAAACACTTAAAACATTCATAGCAAGTATAGATCTAAAGTAGGTCTGAAAGAAAATTAAAAGATCTTAAAGATTAGGGTTTCGAAAAACCCAGAAGAGGTGAGAAAGGCCTTGAAAGTTTCCGATCTAACTAGGAAAGTCAAGGATTTGCCTTAAAAGGCCATGTATGGCCGGAGAAAATCCATAAACAACAGTCGAGCAAGGACTGGAACCAATTCCTTTGAGGACTGGCCATGAAACCATAAAAACAAACACCCAAGAGCCATAGGAGGCCATTACACATCTCCAATGGCCATGTGAGGCCATGGATTAGGCGGGGTTTAGGGTGGATTAGGGTTGGGATAGATGGCAGCGGTTAGGGTTCATAAGGTTTCAGAGAGAGTTGAGAGAGAAAAGGGATTCAGAGGCGGCAGTTGATGAGAAATGAAGTAGGGTAAGGGGTTGTTCGGGGTTAAAAAAGGTAATGGGTAACGGTGGTCATTGATCTAAATGATCAACGACTGGGATTAAAGAGGTTAGGGAATCTGGGTTGGGTCATTTAAATGGGTTAGGGGTTAGGTTTAAACGAAATTGGATCTGATTTGGGGTTTAATTTAGGGTACAATTGAAATGCAATTGGACTATTGTTTAAATAGCCAATTTTCCCATTTTAAAATTATAAAAAATAGTAAATTAATTTCTGGAAACAAATTAAAAGCATTAAAATGACTTATAATATATAATTAACCATTTAAAAATACTGGACTTAATTTTTATGAATATAAACGCAATTAAATCTTAAAACTGGCTGATATTGCGATTATATGCAATTTAGCTTTGAAAATACTAAATAAGTTTGTAAAAATATGCAAAAATTACCTTAGCTATATTTAACATAAATATAAAATTCCAATAAAGGAATTACCAAAATAATAATTTTGGAAATAATTATTGGGTTTTTATGGACAAAATAGGGGAATAAATTGATTTAAAACGCTTTAAAAAATAAAGGAAGAATAATAAAACATTTGGACATACTTATATATGCATATATATGCTATTTTGAAGGGTATTTTGCATATTTAAAATATATAGGGGAAAAATTGGGTATCAACACTACTTAGCAAGTTTGTGTAACCACATCACGGGATAATTTAGAAAAAAGGAAGAATATCCGGAATCCCTCCATGATTGATGAAACATGTAATGTTAGTGTTTATATTACGTTTTTCAGTCTGCATATTATTTTTACATTTTCTTATTTACACATTTAGATTTCAGATATATCATATTATTTACGATTTAGTTGTCTTTGTGACGTTTATGGTTATGCACAAGTTATTACTACAGTAGTCATTGATTGTGAGCTTTTAACCCCAGCATATGTAGTTCAGAAGGAAAAAGACATGCTTCATCCAACTCCTGTTTCTGAAAAAGGTAGGGCTACGGATTTACACTGATCATTTATGTTTCTATGTTTACTATGCACAAATATGTAATTGAAAATTATCTTGAACTAGGCTCAACATTAGGAACTGCAAATGAATCATGTGCTTTAACCTCTAGAACAGTTACAACTAAAGGTTCGTATCACCATCACCCTTAGCTGATTTTATCATTTTTTTGGTCTGTGTCTCTTAAAGTTATTTGAAATATGCAGGCCGTCTAAGGAACAAAAAACTACGATTAATATTAATCAACTACGTTCTAATTATGTTCTGTTAAAAAGGGTTCCAAATTGTAAATTCTGTCATGCGAAAAAATTTGAGTATGAACCCCCTGGATTTTGTTGTAGTAGTGGTACAGTAAAGTTATCCTCTCATCAAATGCCAGCTAAACTGAGAAATATATATATGTGAAACAACACAGAATCCAAGCACTTTCGAACGTACATTAGAACATATAATAATCTGTTTGCCTTTACGTCACTTGGTGTCAATTATTGCAAAGATTTAGCTAAGAGAAACCGTGGTATCTATACATTCAGGGTTCAAGGACAGATGTATCACTTGATAGATGATTTATATCCCATAGAAAGAGGGCTGAGAAATTTGCAACTCTACTTTTATGATAATGCAAATGAGCTTGAAAATAGAATGGTTTGTTCAGATAAACTAAATGAATCAACAGTGAAGGAACTGATGGACATACTAAAGGATAATCCATACTCGATGTTTCTGCGATCCTTAACAGACATGTCGAACTTGCAAAACTTTCATATAGCACTAAAATGTGACGCTGGATTGGATCAACGTGTATATAATGTGCCTACTACTACTGAAATTGCAGCAATATGGGTTGATGAAAATGATGGTTCTGCTATTCATGCACCACATCTTCAAATTTATACTCACAGTGATAGGACACAAAGAGTGAACGATTATTTTGGGTGTTATGACCCTTTACAGTACCCGCTGTTATTTCCACATGGTCAAAGCGGGTGGCATTGTGGTATTAAAAAGCTCCCCAAACCAGAAAATATTCCTGGGAGTCGCACTCTTGAATTTGAACAATTGCCGAATATAAAAAAATTCACCTTTGTTGATGGATATCTTGATATGGAAGCTCAAAATTTGCAAAAAGGAAAACACAAAAGAGATGTTGTTTCAGTTCGTGAATACTACTATTATAAACTTCAGATGAGGAACGATGATGAAGATGAAATTTTGCATACCGGAAGGTTATTCCAACAGTATTCAGTTGATGAATATATAAAATTGGAGACACAAAGGTTGGACTTTGTTTCGTTCAATCAAGATTTGTTCAGAATGGGTATACTGCAAGGACTTCTTGTTATTTTAAGACTTGGCGAACGAGATGCTTCCAATGTTGGAAAATAAACATTTCTGCCAAATTCTTTCATAGGAGGTCTTAGTGATATGCGTTAACGTTATATGGATGTTATTGCATTAGTGCAACGTTCTGGGAAACCTGATTTATTTATAACTATGACATGTAACCCATCTTGGACGGAAATAAAAGAATAACTATGGTCAACTGACGAGGCACAAAATAGACTTGATTTGATTACTCGAGTGTTCAGGGCTAAAATAGAAGAGCTGGAGACAGATATATTAAAACAAAATATCTTCAGAAAAGTTGTTGCTTTTATGTACACTGTGGAGTTTCAGAAACGAGGTTTACCCCATGCTCATTTTCTCATTATACTAGGTAATGAGCACAAACTGTTGACAGCAGAAGCATACGATGATATAATTAGAGCAGAGTTATCAAATGGTAAGACAGAACCAGATTTGCGTAAGCTTGTCATTAAGCATATGATGCATGGTCCTTGTAGTAGTTTAGATCCATCAAATTCTTGCATGAAAAAAAAGGGTTACTGCAAGTTCAAATATCCAAAAATGTTTGTCGATCAAACATCGAAATGAAATGATTCTTATCCAGTTTACAAAAGACGAAATACAGGGGAAGTTGTAAAAGTAAGAGAACAATATTTAGATAACTCTTGGGTTGTTCCTTACAATCCTTATTTACTTGGGAAATTCAACTGTCACATAAATGTTGAAGTGTGCTCTGACATCAAAGTCGTGAAATATCTCTACAAATACATTTGTAAAGGACATGACAAAATTATATTTTTTGTACAAAATAACGATACAGACATAGAGATAGATGAGGTCAAAGAATATCGATCTACTAGATGGGTATCACCTCCGGAAGCTGTATGGCATCTCTTTAGTTTTCCTATAAGCGAAATGCCTCCCAGCGTTTATCGTTTTCAGCTACATCTTGAAGGTCAACAATTTGTTTCTTTTAAGAGCAACGCGGATATACATACAATTGTGAATAATCCGATGATCCAAAAAACAATGTTAACTGAATTCTTCTACATGAATGATACCGATGAAGATGCTAAAGAGCTCAACTTATTGTACAAAGAATTTCCTGAATACTTCATGTGATCCTCAAGTGACAAATTTTGGGCACGTAGACAAAAACGTTGTGCTGTTGGTCGTATTGTGACATGTCATCCAATAGAAGGAGAACGATATTATCTTAGATTATTACTAATGCATGTGCAAGGACCGAAGTTATATAAGGATCTTTTGACAGTAAATGGAGAGCCTTGTAGTGCTTTTAGAGAGTTTGTAGAAAAAAGAGGATTACTACACTGTGATAATAGCTTGATAGAGTGTATGTTTGAGGCCGCAAGTTACCAAATGTCATATTGTTTGCGACGTTTATTTGCTACATTATTGGTGTATTGTGGTCCTGGCAACCCTAGAAAATTATGGGAACAATTTGAAGAATCGATGATTGAAGACTATAAAGTGTTACAAACTATTGAAAGAAGAGAAATTCGATATCAAGCTCTGAACCATATCAATGATATTTTACATTCCACGGGTCATGATGTAAATGAGTATGAACTTATCTCAGAAACTATCAGGCCTTCTACGGCAGCAAAAGAGGCAAAAGAGATTCATTTTGAAAGATCTATTATTGTTAGCGAAGATGACGTATTGTTGCATAGGAAATTAAACAAAAATCAATTGATTGCATATAATGTGATTACTGAAAGGATATTTTCGAATAAATCAGGTGCGTTTTTCATAGATGGTCCAGGAGGAATAGGGAAAACTTTTTTGTATCGTGCTTTATTAGTAATTGTACGATCCATGTGATATATAGCTTTGGCAACAACTACTTCTGGTGTTGCTGCTTCTATTTTCTCGGGAGGACGTACTGCATATTCACGTTTCAAAATTCCTATTGACATCGATGAAAATGCCAGTTGTAACATTAGCAAAGAAAGCGCACTTGCAGGTTTAATCCGAGATGCAAAATTGATTGTATGGGATGAGGTATCTATGGCTAAAAAAAGAATGTTGAAAGTTTTTGATCTACTCTTAAAAGATCTGATGGATACAAATGCATTATTTGGCGGAAAAGTTGTTGTTTTAGGAGGTGACTTCAGACAAACTCTTCTTGTTGTGCACTATGGAAAAAAAGAAGATTTCATCAATGAAAGTTTATTATATTCTAGCATTTGGAATGAACTTGAAAAATTAAAATTATCTGAGAATATGAGAGCAAAAACAGATCCTGCATTTTGTGATTATTTGTTAAGAATTGGAAATGGACAAGAACGAGTCAATTCAGCAAACAAGATTGAAATTCTAGATTCTTTGATTATTCCTTACACAAAAAGAATCCCTCGATAAACTATTCACAGCCACATATTCAAATTTGTATTCGTTATGCTCTAATTCATCTTGTACAGATTCCAGTGTGATCTTGACAACAAAAAATGATTTTCGTCGATGAAATTAGTGACATGTTTATTGATCGATTTTAGTGGAAAATCAAAAATATTTATTGGCACCGATGAAGCTATTGAATTTAATAACCAAACACAATTTGAAGACTTACTACACACTTTAAATCCTCCTGGTTTACCCCCTTACAAATTATCTATGAAAGAGAATTGTCCAATTATATTATTGCGAAATTTAAATCCATGTGAAGGTTTATGTAATGGCACGCGATTGACTTGCTGTAATTTTAAAAGCCATGTTATTAGCGCTAAGATTACGACATGTGATTTCAAAAATATGCACGTGTTTATACCAAGAATTCCATTATTATCATCACATGATGAAAATATGCTTGTACAATTTAAAAGAACGCAATTTCCCATTAGATTATGCTTTGCTATGACAATAAATATAAGGCCAGACTTTAGATTTCGTTGCAATTTATTTGCGGGAACATGTATTTTTATATAGTCAACTTTACGTTGCCTTATCGAGGGCAAAGAGTTCAAGCTGTGTGAAATTGTTAATCCGACCGTCTACGCCAAGTAGCGATGACGATCATTCTACCTCTAATGTAGTATACGACAAAATTATTTAGAAGGCAATCCTTTGAGTTACAGGTTGTCATATTTTTTCTTTGTATTCTCCTATATCCTCTTTCTCATTGTTGCTTTGCATAGATAAAGTATCAAACATGCTAATTCAATTATTTCTTCGTGAATTGTGATTTTCAATTCACTGGTAATGAATATGGTATAGCGAAACTTTTTATTATGTAGCTGCATTTTTACATTCAGTTTAATGATATTCCCTCCTCCGGTGGATTAATGTAAAAAATATGCTAATGTATTCCCCCTCATAGAATAGTCTATCTCTCATTAAGTAGTCTTGATGTGTTAGATTTTTGAAGACTTAGTTATATTTCAAACTGGTACCCTTCTTGTGCTTTTACTTTGTCTTCCACATTTTCTCCGAGCAAGTAAATAACATTTTCATAACCTTTAGTGACTCAAATTGGTTCAGAACCTTATAATTTATATTTGCAGGTTAACGCTGTCCTGGTAGGAAATTGCAACTCTTTTCATGATCAAAAAGTTTTCACCACAACTATGTAGCTCATAGAAGTGCGTTTATTTTTACAGGCAAAATGTTCCTTGAATCACAAGTTATAGAGGTTTCATGGCATATTGACGATGCATCTAGTGGTGGAGCCACCTTATCCAAAGGGGTGTCAGTTGACACCCCTTCGTCCGGAAAATTATACTGTGTTGTTTGGTAATTGTTATTTTATATACATATATTACTATATGTTGACTCTCCTTGACTTCTTCTGTGTGTTTACTTTTTATATTTTGACACTTCTTAGTAAAAATTCTGGCTCTGCCACTGGATGCATCGTTACGAAAACGGTCAAATTATAGATCGTGTTTGGATTGACAAAACTAAGGGAAATTTTTCTACATCCATATCAAATGCCACCTACGTGGACCTGAAGGTAATATTAGCTTGGCTCAGACCATTTCTTGAAAATAATTTGACATTCTTTAGCTAATAATCAGTTCTTTCTGGAGTGTTATGTGGATATTTTTTACATTATCATCGTGTAATTAAGAAGTTTTACATGCCATTTGAGATTATAGCATTGGAAGTGCTCACTATAGCAATAACATGATTTTCTTCTGTAACTTTCTAGAAACAGACGCAAAACATGAGTAATATATAATATTTCAAAAGTCTATATTGGTGGATTTATTTAGTTTCAAAAGTTCATTTCTTGGAAATTATTTAACATACTTTAGCTAATAATCAGTTCTTCCGAAAGTGTTATATGGACATCTTTTGCATTATCATCGTCTCAGTAGAAAGCTTTATCTGCCATTTAATAAACTTTGGTAACATTAATTTTTGGTATGATCGGTCATTGGTCATTGGCAGCAAGAGAAAAAAAATATTACCATGAAACATTTCCCTTTTTTAAACTATGATAATCCAGTAGTAAAAGTTTTTCCCTCAAATGCAGGTGGGTAAGAACAACAAGGATATTAAATTTGAAGAAGAAACAGAGAAGCCAAGATAGATTCAGTTGAGAAAACACCAGGTATGCCTTGGTGATGTGCTTGTAGCGGAGAAAAGTTGGATGGTAGTACAAAAGATACATTGTTCATACTAGCAGTGAATCGAGTTCCATTTGGACCTTGACAGTTTCTGGAGCGATCACCTTTTGGACAGTTATTGACTCCTAGCCCAACAGTGAAGAATAGATTTTCGTCGATTTTCTTGGGCACCTCGAAAGCTGTAGCAGTGGTCGTGTCATTATATGCCGGTAAACATGGGAAAATTATATTAGTCTTGGCACAATTAGAAGAACAAGAAGCTGTCTTGTACTCAAGGACGGCTGTGGTTGTGGTATTATCAAAGGGTACGCCTTGAGCACTTGCATAGGGACGTGCTACCATGTAATATTTGGCTGGTGGCTAATCGGGTTTGATCAGGACATTAGTAGTCTGACCTGGTCCGAGCATAAGGACTAATGCTGTGAAAGGTTTAACATAAGAGGCATCTACTCCAATAACAATAAGCTTATGGTTGGCCACATTAAAGAAAAGTTGTTGATTGAGTGTAGCATTAATAACTCGAAGGAGGTTCGTTTCATCAGCGTCCACATGCACTATGGTGGTATCTGCATTAACATAATTTCTGTGAAAACATGTCCTAACAGGTAACATATGCAATCATAGATTACTGCTAGCATAACATTGTTAGGTGGAAATTAGTCTTTATACTATGTGTAAACTTCAAATATTTTGATATTAGAACTAACCTTTGCTTGAACACTTGTAGAGATCACTTGGTTGGCCATTGATGGTGTAAACATCATATATGTGGGAGTTAAAAATTTGCCAGCTGAACCTTCTTAGGAAGAATTCAGGCTTGGTTTAAAGAGTGGAATAATCCTTTATAATGTACTCAATAAAATTCATTCTGGAGTTGTTCCCAAGGTAATTTCAATAGAAGAAATCAACCAATCAATCAACTGCCCCTCGAATTTGGAGATTTGATCATTCAAAAAAGAAATTTGCAAGTTAGACCTATGTGTTAGCAGCCTTAAATTGTTGTTTTTTTAGAATTCTTATACCTCACACCAGCTAATTCAGATAGAGGCATATTGATAGTTGTTGCTATTGACTATTAGGTTAGATTTGTGAATAATAGGTTTTCTTGCCTTTTCGAAATGTATATAATTTGTATTAGTTATAGTTGTCAATGATCATGTGGGGAGGTTCTGTATCAATTGGCTCTGCGAATTTGATCTTTTCATGTCTCTGTGGTTCCAATTAGAGATCTGGAACTTGTGAGCAACTGGGATGTCTACTACTATCCATGTTTTCTTTCCTTTGTTTGTGGAAAAACTGCGACTTAGCTTGGGTATTAGATGTTTCTATAGAGTGATCATCTTGAGAAGTGAACTTTTGATCTATAAGCTGATGTTAGAATGGTTAGGCAGATGTTATTTATCTTCTGTATCCATTAGAGGCATATAAACTCCCAGAATTTGCTTATTCTTTGTGCAATTAGATATCTGCTTCTTGACTTGCTCACAGCATAGTGCGTACTGCAGGTTTGTGCAATATTCCTCGCTAGCCCAAGTTTTCTAATCAGGAAAAAAATTTGCATAAAAATGAGCATTTCTTTTATGTACATATTTTAACTGTTTGAAATTGAAAAGAAGATTGTCCCTTGGAATCTTATCCTTTGCTTTTTATGTTTCTTTTGTCTCTAGGTGGCTTTACTGTCATTGCTCTAAATGACAAAGTTAGTTCTGCAATAATTTTCCTAGTTGATCATTTAAACAAATTATATTTTTGGTGCAGGAAAGAGTGGATGACGATTTATTTCAGTGTTCAGAGATCTTGGATATGCTGAGTTGATTGTAATAATTATCCCATTTTCTCTTTATTTATACGTTTCTGTACTTTGTTGGTACTCAAAAATTCAAGCAATAATACTCTCGATTGGGTAAGCTGCAATATTGTTAATTCCTGAATGCAGGTAGAGGTTTAAATACTACACTACTGAGAGAGTGCTATATGCTCTTTGTTATTCTTCACGCATCACTTTAGTGGACATCTTTTGTCTCTTTGATCTTCGTTGTTTGAGATACGAGCACGTACAAGAGTTCTCTGTACATAATTGCGCAAGCAAGAAAGCTAAGAAGAAAACTAAACACAACACGAAAGATGCATAATCCTTTGCTAATTTTTAGATACTATAAAATGTTTCAAACAATGCAACGCTTTAGCATCGTCGTTAAATGTTTCAAAGAATGCAACACTTTAGTATCTAATCGTATGACCATGCTATGGATATAAAGAACATGTTTTTGCCAATCATATAACATCCATGATTGTATATGTTACTTTTAACCCATAATATGAAAGAGTTCTATCTAGCATTGTTCTAAGTTAGACGATGCTTACTTTGTTAATTGGTGAGCAAATATAAAATGTTCCAGCTGATATTGTCATTATACCTTTATTTACAACAATACTTCTTATATCTCACTTTGTACTTGCTAAAAATGATAAAGAATTTGAAAATTTTGTAAGCCAATCTCACAAGTAAAGTTAATTAGATGTTACAATTAGAATAGAAAGGATAACACAATGTATAATAAAGTAATATAATTTTGTTCACCTTGGACCCGGCAAAGCCCGGGCTACCCCACTAGTAGGTTTATATGATACTATAGCTAGGTAAATCGTATATATACGAAAAAGTCCCATGAATAACCCCATTGGACCACGTCAGACGTAAAGAGCCCATCTAAGATGCTTTCCCCAGCCCAAAACATTTTCATAATTGTCTGGTCCATTAACTAAGTCTTCTTCATCCCTGCAGCTAAATCC